TATAATTTTGTCGTTGCTGAAAATATTGTTTGATGAATGAAACATTTTTTTTTAGTTTAATTTGTAACTTAGTAGTTCTAAAAGATCTCATAAGCCATGTTATATTTTTTTTTTAATAATAGGTCAGGCCTGACCTTTAAATAGAGCTTTTAAAAAGTTAATAAATCATATAAGTTCAATATATATTTATGTAGAGTTAGGTCATGATTCATGAAGTTCAAATCCTGACCTAATTACATCCCCAATCTAATCCATATTACATATGTATGTGCTAGATGAAATTAGTTAGACACAATCTTTATTTTTCAAAGACTGTACACAAAAAGTATTAAATGCATTAAAAGCCCAAGGCTGATGCCTGATTTCTTTAAATACAAATTTCACGTGTGAACCTTCCTTTTTGGTATTCAAACCGTGAATTCATTGTTATATAAGTCTTGTGTGAACGGAACACAAGCCATTTGTCTAACTTTTTTTTTTTCTTGAAATTTTGACGTTTGATAGTAGAAGTATTATAACATAATAGAACGTAATATATGAGTTTTGTTTTATATTTGGTATATTTTATTTTTTTTTTGATAACATATTTGGTATATTTTTGAAAAAACACAATAGATATGAAATTTAAAAGTGCTACATTTTAAAAAAAATTAAATGCAATTAAAGAAAATAGAATAGAATACAATAAAAATATTTATTCTGTTATATCTGCGTGCAAACACTTATTCACTAACATAGGGTACGGTAATTGGGTAAAGTAATTGAACTATTTAATTATAAAAATTAAGAGCTTGGTGTTTGTCATTTTAAATGACATAAGTTATGTCATTTTAGGAGAAAGATAGATACAGAAAATATGAAAATCATGAGAGAGAGAGAAAGTGATTAGTTTTTTTTTAATTTAAAATTTAAATAAAATTTTTTATTATGAGTCTATCTCTCTCTTAAATGACATAACTTCAAAGTCATTTAAAATGACAAACACTTTTTTCAAAAAATAATCAATTATTTATTCACATATTATTAATAGTAGATTCATTTATTAATATATTTATTTATCTAGGGAGGTTAAGAGTGCGTATGACAAGCTTCTCGGAATCAGTTCTTTTTTAATTTCTGTTTTCGGGAACAAAAATGGATAGAAAACTCGTTTGGTAAAATTGATTTATTTTTTTGTTCCCGGGATGAACCGATTTAATTTTTGTGCTAGGGAACAGAAAAAGAATCAAAAAATTTCTGTCTTTTTGTTCCCGGGCACAAAAAGAGAAACACTTGTCTCTTTCAATCACTCTCCACCTCTACCATCATTACCACCACCACCATCATTCCGACTCGACCACCATCACCACCGCCTCCATCCATATCTATCACCATGCCACCATTACCACCACCACCACACTACCACCGTCACCAACCACCACCACCATCATTGTAGCCACTGCCACCATCACCACCACCATCGCTATCACTACCATCACCACCACCGTCACCAACCACCACAATCATCGCCATAGCCACTGTTGTCACCACCACCACCACCATGCCATCACTGCCACCACCAACCACCACCATCAATGTCGCATCCACTGCCGTCACCACCATCGCCACCACCGCTACCATCACCACCACCGCCGTAGCCACTGCCATCACCACCACTAACACGCCACCACCAGCATCGTCGCAGCCACTGCCGTTACCACCGCCGCCGCCGCCACCACCACCACCACTATGCCACCATTACCACCACTGATGCCGCAGCCACTGCCGTCACTACCATTACCATGCCGCCACCACTATGCCACCACCACCATCGCCATCGCCACCACTACCACTACCTTCACCATCACCACCAACGCCGCCACCATCACCATCGTCGTAGCCATTATTGTCACCACCACCACCATCGCCACCACTACTACCGTCGCGGCCACCACGACTATGCAACCACAATCAACACCTTTATCACCACTGCAGCCACTGCCGTCACCACCATTACCACCACCACGCCACCTCCGCCGCCATCACCATATAAAAAGGAACTTGATGATCCAAAAAATTATATGTTTAATAGGAATTATTTTTTATTATATTATTTGTTGTGTTATCAAACGTAATTCTCAATCTTGGAATAAAAATAGAACATGTTATCAAACACATTTTTTTTCTCAGAAATTGTTCCAAGCCACAGAAATAGAAAAGAATTATTTCTTTTCAGAAACATTGCCAAGAAACAGAATGATTATCATGCACATCCTAAGAATCTCAAACAAATGAAAAATAAACAATAAAACAGAGCCAAGTAGAAATTAACAAAATAATTTTATTAAATAACATCATATAATCATAAATTTTGAATTAGTATTCTCCTATTAAAAATATAATTTGATATCTCATGTAATTATTATTATAATTAAATTTAGGGAAAACTTCATTTTCACGCATTGTGGTTTTGTGATTTATCATTTGACCCCCCTGTGATTTTAAACTTATCACTTAGACCCATTGTGCTTAAATATTTTATCATTCAACTTCCCGTGGTTTCAAATTTTCACTTAGACTCCCTGTGGTTAAAAATATCTTCATTTAGACCCCTTGTTACAAAAATAAATTTTTAAAATAAATTTCCTTCTTTTTTATTTTATAGCCTCACCTAATGCGTTTAAGGTTTAAAAATAAAATAAAATCTAAAAAAATTCCATTATATTTATCAAGAAAATAAATTCAAATCAAATATTTATATTTTATCTATTTTTTATCCGGTATCATTATAAAATTATCTAATGAAAGTAAATATTTTATTTTGATAATGCATATTTAATTCATCTTAAATAATTTGTTTAATTTCAAATATATTTTTAAAATAAAAAAATTAAGATAATTTATAAATTAATTCCAGAATAAATAACTTAAAATATTTTTCAAATCCTAAATGCATTACATAAGGATATAAAATAAAAAAGAGAGATAATTTATTTTAAATATTTTTTTTTAAACCACAAGGGGTCCAATTGGAAATTTTTGTAATCACGAGGGGTCTAAGTGAAAATTTAAAATTACAGAGAGTTAAATAATAAATTATTTCAGCATAGTGGGTCTAAGTAATAAATTTAAAATCACAAGAAGTCAAATGATAAATTACAAAATCATAATGTGTGAAAATGAATTTTTTTCTTAAATTTAATGATTATATAAGCAATTAAATATTATGATGGATTAGTCTCAGTAAAAAAAAATTAAATCTGTGAATACCGGTTTAAGAAAAAAATTATTGATTTCTAATTTTTCTATAAAAAAATATTTAATATAAATCTTTGATTAAAGATTGTATGATTTTATTTTTGACATAGCTTTTTCATTGGTCGGTTGGTACGGAGACAAATGTTTTGTTATCAGAAAATAAACGTGAAACAAATAGCATGGTTCTCAGCCATTCAAAATGTAGTATTATCAATCATTCCGATTTGATATTTTCTATTTATTTTCTCTAAAAAGTAAAAACACGTGTTTTCTTTTGTGTCCCCTCATCTTTGACCTCTTTCTCATTCTTATCCTTCCCTTACACGGTTTCAACTTTCAAGTATAACTTCAAATAAAGGGTTAAAACTTTGCAATAGTGACTAAAATATCATTGTTCATCAAGTTTTTTACCTAAATGTCACACGAACAGTATTATTTTTCAATCTGTCATAAGGAAAAGTTCACTACCCGGTGTAGCGAACTCGGTTTGCTGATATGTCACGTTTCTAGTGGACACCAAGTTCGCTACCCAACGTAGCGATCTTCAAATTTTTTTAATTTTTTTTAACTTGTACTTGTTATCCACTAGAAATGTGACACATCGGCAAATCGAGTTCGCTACACCGGATAGCGAACTTGCCCCCGTGACAGATTGGAAAATAAAACTATTCACGTGACATTTAGATAAAAAACTTGATAAACAATGACATTTTGATCGGTATTCCTAAAACTTTCTTACGAATGTAAAAACTTTTTCCAGCGGTAAAAAAAAACATCTCATCACTCCTCTCTTTTTTTTAAAAAGCATCCCAACTTTAAAAGGCATGACCCAAAAAATCAATGAACGAATAAAACTAAATCTTCAAATTCATTCGGATTTTAACTGACCAATCACATCCTAATGAATCTAAAATGCGAAACTCTTCGATCAGTTTGTGCCTGAAAGTCCACACAAAATAGAGGGAAGACATTAAATTGATAGTGCCCTTCAAAATCAACTAAAAAGAAGGAAATAAATAAATAAAAAGTCCAACAACCTAAAGACAAGTAGCAGATAAGGGTGAGCTCATGCCAAGATTCAATTCCACAAAAGAAGCGCTTCTGTTATATTAAATTTGCATAATAATCTAAAACCTATGCCACACCTTCTTTACCCTTTCTTTTCTATTGATCAATTCAACCACTCTTTCTTTTTCTTTTCTTTTTATGTGTGCGCATATTTTCTATGAAAAAGCGTCTGTTTATAATTTTTGTTTACAAATTATATTAAGTATGATCGATTATACACTCTTGATTGAAGTATGACTTGTCATACTTAATATAATTTGTAAGAATTTGTAAACAAAAAATTTATAAATATAACTTTCCCCATCTTTTGTTAATTATGAATTGAAAATTTAAACCAAATCTTAATATCTGCCAAGTGACAACAACGTCATTCCGTTCCAACTTGATAAGGATTGAGATATTTAAGGAAAATGTATTATATATAGCATCCAAATATTTGATCGACAAATTATTGTTATATAATTAACTATTAATTAATAATATATCTACAATTTAATTAGAAGCATTTTTACATTGGCAAAGAATTAGTGGGATAAACATTATTTCATTGGATACACACAGCAAATGGATACACACACGCACACTCTCCGTCTCTCTTGTATATAAAAGGAGATTAGGAGAAGCTAATGGCATTCTTATCCCACACTTAATGTGATTCCCTAATTTCCATGCAATAATATCTGTTTCCTATTTCACTCATCAAAAGACTCTCTTTTTTTTAATCCAAAACCCACTTTTCCTCTGTTATCTTCTCTCCCATTCATACCCTTCTCTACAAAATTAAAAAAAAAAAAGATCACGCCAAAACTTCAGAGCTCAACGTCAACAATTCTTCATGGTCTCTCTCTCTCTCTGGGTTTGTGTACAATTATCCCATCCTAATCTGTAATTAATTTTCTTCTGGTTTTCTTTTGCTTTCTGGTTTGCAGGCGCGTGAAACTGAGGTCAAATATGAAGAGGTATTATTAACACCTATCTCTTAGTGTTTATGGGAACTTTTCTTATTCAAATTCAAAGGAAAAAAAAAAAAAAGAATCTGAACGTAGTTATTCATTTTTATTTTGCAGGAATTCGTTTTGAATTCACGAGGCATGAAGCTTTTGGCAAGCCGATGGCTACCGGTGAATGAAACTCCAAAAGCGTTAGTCTTTCTGTGCCATGGCTATGCCATGGAATGCAGCATCACCATGAACAGTAATTAGCCTCTGCACCTTCATTTTCATTATTATTTTTCCCATTAAATAATATATATATAAAGTACTAATTGTGATGATATTAATAATCTGTACACAGGCACAGCGACAAGGATTGCAAAGGCGGGTTTTGCAGTATATGGGTTGGATTATGAAGGCCATGGAAAATCAGATGGGCTTCTTGGTCTTGTTATGAATTTTGATTCTGTCATCGATGATTGTTCCCACTATTTTACTATCATTTCTGGTCAGCATCTTTTTTTTCTCTCTCTCTCTCTCTCTTTTATTTCAATTTATTGCCTGCCGTTTTTCTTTTGTATTTTTTGTTTTAATTGGTTTTTTGAACACATTTTCAAACCCATGATGTGTACAATGTTTGATGTCATAAATAATTTTGAGTTTTAAATAATTTCTGTTTTTTTTTATAATAAACAAAAATACAGAAAAGCCAGAGAACAAGAAGAAGATGAGGTACTTGTTAGGTGAATCCATGGGAGGAGCTGTGGCTCTACTTTTGCACAGGAAAAAGCCAGAATACTGGGATGGAGCAATTTTGGTTGCACCCATGTGCAAGGTTTGGCTTTTGCTTTCTCCTTTTCTTCTTCTTTTGTTGTTATATGCTCTATACAAAAAATATCTTCTGCAACGTTTAATAATAGTGTGTATCGTACGTTACATGTTGTTCTCTTTCTACCATATTTTATTCTATCATTAGAAAAACAAAAATCTTGCATCGTTCTCCATATTTATTCTTTTACTATTTGGCCATTCCAAGGATCCAGACACGTTTGATTTCCTCCGATACACACACTCCCCCATCAAATTCGGGGCCAATAAGATTAACTAGATATTGATGGAGATTTTTCTTTTTACTTTTATCTCTTGTTATGGTTGCAGTCTTGCAGAAAATTTATTCTTGCTTCTTAGAGCATGATTGGATCCCTTTTTATTTAAGTTAAAAGTTATTTTTAAGTTTAAATTAAAAAGAATTAAAAATTATTTTATGATTATATAAAATTTGTAGCTAAAAAATATAAAAAATAAACTCTTCTTAAGTGCTTTTTGCTTCTTCTTTTTCATTATAAAAAAAATTCATTTTATTGTAAGAGCTTTTAAAAACCTGTTTGACCTAACTTCTTTTTATAAGCAGAATAGATTAAAAAAAAAAAGATTCAATCAGGCACTTAGGCTAATCTTTAATATTCATGCTTATAAATATGTTATCCAAAATTATTTAATTTTTCTTTTTTTGTGATCATCTTTAACTTATTAAAATAAATAATTAAGAGGACAATTATATTGTCTATCTATTTAATCTTACTATTCTTATTTTTTTATTGCCGTTGATTATATTTAAATCAACGGTAATAAACAATTGGTGTGATTAGTTGAAAAAAATAAGTGAAGGATAAATAAAATAAAAAATATTATTATATTTGAGATCATTGATTTAAAAATAATCAACGGTGATAAATAGGTAGTAAGGATAGAAAGATTATAAAATAAGTAGGCAATATAACCCTCTCTAATAATTAAACATTCTAAAATATTTATTTCAAACTGCATATCTTTTTTCTTTTTTTATCAAAATAAGGATCATAATCGATATACAAATTACTGACTTGATGAACTGTTGATAATCTTTTCATTACTAACGGCATGTGAAGTGGAATTGGCAACACATTGTGTCACCTGTATGTACATAAAATACACATATTGGCAACTGCATGGAAGATATAGAATGATTCAATAATATAGACATCGTAATGCGTGTGGATCACGTATTAGGTAGTGCTTATTTTTATATACTATATTTTAGTTGATTCGTTAAAGCAAACTAATTCAATGGACCCGTTTGAATATCATTGTTTGACCGATACTAATCTTTGACATCTAGAAGGCAGATAGATATCTGACCTTGAGGTTGAATACTTATTCAAAAAGGGATCAATCAAGAAATTTCGATGTTAAACCGTTGCAATAGTTATTCTCTCATATTATGTCACATCTTGAAGACCCTGCCTTCAGAAAACGACTTATTAATTTTAAATATAAACTATATAATTGATAATCAATCATTTCAATCAATAATTTGCAAGAAAAGTTATGGGAATAATTTTAATTTGATGAAATATAAATAATAAATTAGATTTATAAAAGTCATTCTTTTTTATCAATGATTGCTACTTAACGATTAACGCATTATTACTTTTAAAGTACCCCTTACATTTTGAATAATTTAAACCTAATCAAGAACATTTACTTCTGATAAATTGCTTGCTAATCGGATTTGTTTATGCACTTACAGCTGGTTTATTTTTTATTTTATTTTTATTTTGAGCTGAGTTTAGTGAATAATTTATTTGTTGTTGCTTATTAATTTAATTATTTCTTTTAGGGAAGGATCCGTTTATAATTTTTTTTTACAAATTACACTATATACCCCTGGAAGTACATAGTGTAATCTAGTGTATTTCCGAAAGTACATAGTGTAGTTTGTAAGAGTTTATAAATAAAAAGTTTGTAAATACAACTATCATGGTTTCTTTTATATAAACAGTTTTGTATTAATGAAATATTGTGCAGATTGCAGACGAAATAAAACCCAACCCAATGGTGGTTAGTGTCTTAAGTGCACTCAGCAAAGTCATTCCTACATGGAAATTAGTCCCAACTGAAGATATCATTGACGTAGCCTTTAAAGTGCCTGAAGTCAGAGAACAGGTATCTACACAAACATTATTCCAGAATCTGATATTGTTAATTCAAATGAAGTTCTGGATCACTATAGATTCATACACACGGGGAGATATAGTTGCACTTTAAATATTGGTAGGTTTATCATAAAATTATAAATCCCAAAATGTCACCTTTTATGTAATAAATGATTAATTAAAGGTGAAATTCCTTATATGTAGAGGATAATATTTTGATAAGAATTCAGCTAACACAATAAAAGAATACAAGTAATTTTCTATACCATTAATAATACTTACTAGCTATTACAGTAACTAATCAACTAAAAGCTTATCATATTCACAGATGGGGAGGAAAATGGTAATAGAAGATAATGTTATTATTCATGTATTGCAGATTAGAGAAAACCAATATTGCTACAAAGGGAAACCTCGCTTAAGAACAGGCTACGAACTTCTCAGGATCAGTACAGAAATTGAGCAAAGAGTACATGAGGTTTGTCAAATTTCTAATATTCTCCTCAATGCCAAACTCGTTACAGTTGATGATGCTTCATGTACTTAAAATGCAAAAATATTGTTGAACAACTTTACTTTGGTTAGGTTTCGCTACCTTTTATGGTCATGCATGGTGAGGAAGACAAAGTGACTGATATCTCAGTTAGCAAACAACTATATGAAGAGGCCTCAAGCTCAGATAAGGTACTAAAGCTGTACCCAGGAATGTGGCATGGTCTATTGTACGGAGAGCCATCAGAAAATTTGAAGATTGTATTCTCGGACATTATTGGATGGCTAGAGGAGAGATCTCGCTATGGAAATACAAGAATAGAGAGGGAACTGAAAGAACACAACGAAGTCTTGGTAAAAAGCTAAAAAGGATTGTTAACCATTTGTTTTCTCTTGGTGATTTGTACCAAAGTATTTGTCTTGCTTGGAGCTAAACAAGTTGGTGTTTGGTCGGATGTTGAAAAAAAGGCCCTGGAAAACAAGCGGAGGCAATAGGGCTTAATGTGCATTAGATGTGAGCTGAGAGTAGAGCTGTTAAGAGTAAGGTGGTGGTTATCTAATATCTTTTATGTCTCTATTTTGGCTTAAGACTCCAAGTTCCGAAAAAATAAATTTAAAGTTGAAATTAATTTATACAGGAACTCCTGCTTTGGTTCTATTTTGACTCCATATCTTATTTGATTAGCCTCAAAGCGTAAATAATGGTTGTATATGAGGAACAACATTCACTGCTTGAGTTTAGCAAATACAGAACCTTAAATTACTCGGGCAGATTGATCTGCACTTCGAGCATTAAGCCCTTCAGCTTCATGTAACGCCAAACGGGGCATAGGTCGAACCCTCAGTCATTCACTTCAGGTCAAGCAAAAGTATACAAGAGAATCGAACTTCTCTACGGTATGAATTGTTCCAAACCCTAATTAACAGACAAATCATTTCAAGATTTGTATAATGGGAGTAAAAGCATGAAATTATTGTGAACCGTAAGCACTAGCCAATCTTAAAAGCAAGGTTCATATTCTGCATCGAAATTCATTTGGCAATCATCCCAATCAATAACAAACCGTGGAAAAGGCAAGAACCACAAATTCAACACCAAAACCCCAATCATCAATCATTTACCACTACCGTAGCACAATCAATAAAATGCGGTATTTCTCCACAAACTTCTCTTCCATGCATTGATAAGTGACCCAAAAGCAACCGGTTCAGTTTTCAGCTTTTAGCTTTGTATTTTGATCGGGACACTAAATATTGCGTTCGATTTTGAAAAATTGTTCTATTATAATCTCAATTGAATCCGGTTTTATTAAAGGGGAAATGACATGATATTAGGTCTATTTAAATTCCATGTTAAGTTATCAGACATCTCATTGAGTACGACACAGTGTGCAGGAATGTGGAAAGAGAGATATGGGGCACGTTATCATATCCACAAAGTATGATAACAGCTAATTAAGATTAATTACAACATAAATTACCAACTGAGGCTTATGGGTTTCATTTCAACAATACGGAGTACAAAAAAGTCACCGTTCAGTTCCCCCATCTTAAATTAGATAGGACAAGAAATCGCTGCTTCCCGTATACTTGAGAAACGCAAGCTTTCTTCACTTTGTTAGTGACCTATCTACGGGCAAACGACCAACTAGAAAAACACAGTTCCGCTATGACCTGCAGGAAATACCAAACCACAGTATAGAGCATTCGTCAAATCAAAATTCTAACTAATACTAAAGCAACTAGAAATGTGGTAAAGATAATAATAATAATCTCAGGACCTACATTGCAAAAGATGGAAGTAGTTTTAAGTGCAACAGTGATCCATTTAAACCACAACACTTGCTACATAGGTCTTAATCAGAAGTACAAATATGTGCGGTCCTCCATGTTCCCTCTTATTAATAAATTTACAAGATAACTATTACTGCATCTCCCTAGTTTTATTGAAAAGAATAAAAAGCATAAACAAAGCAAAGCCTGAATCAAAGTTTAAACCACATCTTTTAACTAGAGTTTTGCAACTCCTTTATAACTATCAGACCAGCGCAAATCTTTTTCCTTATTTATAGATGATCCGTTGCTACGTTAGATTAATTAATGAAGTTCTATTGGATAGATATAAAGTTGCTTCTCTAGGTATTGCTTACATTCGTACTAACGACAACAGTACTAAAGACAGTCAACCCAAATAAACAGAAATAGAGAATCACACCTTTCAGAAGATCATTTCTCAAATAATCTTATTTCGAACTTCCTCGAGTTTCTTCAGTATCTCTCCAGGAGTTCTGTCCAATTCATCAGCAATTTTTCTCTGCAAATCCATTGGCAATGTTGGGAATTGCTCACAGAGATCCCCATCAATCACATCCTACACAATAATGCAGGCCTCTCAGACATTTTCAAAACTCAATGCTATGGCTAAAAAACACTCAATGAAGAAATAGAAGAGTGAAACATCCTGTCAGTAACAGCCAGGAAAATATAATAGCAAGGATACTCTTATCCAGCATGGATGGCAAATAGTGCTTCGTAACAACTTAACAGAAAGAACAAACAGGATAATATTGATTAGGTATACCTTAACAGGAAAATAGGCAGATCTATAAGCCATGTGGTCTCTTCCACACAGAGGTGGATGATCCTGCCTCAAATGCATCTCCAAATGAGAAAAGAAATCAACATCATCTCGTGAAGTAAAAGCATGTAATGCTCCAACACTTCCCATAACTGTTCCATATACAATGCACTCTCCACCACCGGGTATCAGAGATGCCTTTTGCAAGCATGTGATCACATCACCAACATGGTATTGTACAATTTCTTCTACTTTATTGGGAGCTCCATTCAGCTTTCCTTGCTCCCACTTGATCCTCCCACCAGTAGGATCTTCTTCTATCTCATCTGAAACATCCTGTGGCAACCGCACAAAATATATATTTCCGAACTTGTCTGCACCTGCCATAGTGTCAAAATCTATGTGGTATGATGCAGTAAGCCATCTTGGAACGCAATCATCGGCAAATATGTAAAGCTGGTTTTCATCCCGCCTGTACTTGCAGTAATGGAAAGACTGGAGAGAATGCACAGAACACAATTAGCTGAAGAATTTATTTAGTGAAATGGAACATATAGAGCAGCGGCATCTATGAATAAGCATGCTGCCTATTGGCAAAATTAAGAGAATATTAATTCGCCACAGAATAGAATAATTCCTCTCAAAGGTTTCCAATAGAAACCACCACAGTAAAAATTAAAACATTAAAACTTGCTGGACACAGACAAATTAATGTCAGAAGCCAATGTGATATCAAATGCTACCAGAAAAAAGACAGAAGTCATGACGAAAAATCCTTGTTAGAATGCCTAACACAAATGCCTAGATGTTCAACAGATGCAGATATAAAATAGAAACATACCTCTTGGATGTCACCTACATAAATTCGATCCCGATACGCATGAATAGAGACAATTGTGTTAGGGAATAGCTTATTCTCACATTTTCTTAACAATCGTCTTTTTCCCAAATCATATAGCCTTAGCACAGGTCCTATTCCCGCAAGTAATCTTCCTTGAAACTGACATAGAGCAAGAGGAACACCTTCAACCTGAGTTTTATGCAGTAGTTCAAGAGATCTTCCATCCTCCACAAACCTATAGATATGAATAAATCCAGCAGTTAAACTCCTTTTGGGAAAAAATTGCAGTCCCTTTGCTGTGCCAACAGCTAAAAGAGTCCCGTATTCCTTATCATGGAAATTTACTGTGCATATGCTGAATGCAGCCTCATTCTCCTGAAGCTCCAATAGACAAGTTGTATTTGCTGTTCTTGGATCAAGAACTCTGATGCAGGAAACCCACTTATCTGATTCAGATTTTGGATAACCATAATGTTCATCAGAGAGTGGGTCGTCTTGATCCTCATCCTCACCACCATTCTCCATTTGTTCTGCACTTCCAGACCCATTTTCCCCGGCTTGAGCAGCCTCAAAACACTCTTTCCTTGCAGCTTCACGCTCTTCAGCAGTTAATGCTCCTTGGTCACTCTCGATCATCACCAGAAGTTTCCGTTTGGGTTGCACCACAAATTTCCTTGGCGTGTATCTTAATGGAATAACAGTCTCATTAAATGTTTCTCCTAATCTTTCAATGGTAAAAATCCTCAGTGCCTCACCAGCAACAGCTACTACACCTTCCACACATTGGTCAGATGAAAATGGGGCAGCGTATTCAAGGGTTTCATATGAAAGTGGTGTTAAAAGGAAATGTCCTTGGTGAATATAACCAAGCCAAGGTCGACTTGACAAGCAAAGCATAGCGCGTTTACCTCTTACAATAATGGGAAACAGCTTTGGGGCTCTCAATCCTAAGAATCGGGAACGAGAATCAGAAAGCTGACCTGTAACCATATCAACTACAGTTCTAAACAAGACACCATTCTGTAAACCAGCGTTCAAGAAAAGACTAGCAGGATGATCTGCACCATCCTCACCACCAACAGATGCTTGAACTTCAAGAAAAATAAGAGATTCTGGCGCTGAAGAAACACTTTGTACACTTAGAGGCTGCATACAATCATCAGGATCCAGGGATAAGATACGAATGGTCTTATCATATGAGCCAACTGCAAGAAAACGAGATCTTTGTCTGCCTTCGGGTACTGGAGCAATGTCCAAACAAGCAACATCTCCAGACATTTCATGCTTCTCAATCTCCATCAACTGACCAGTTACATCCACTTCAAACAATATAAGCTCCCCCCCACTCAGTGCAATAACAACTTGAAATCGATTTGATCCAACTTTTGAAATTGTCCTCTTTCCAGGAGTTCTCCACTCATTAACACGGCCGTCCTCCCTAATATGTCTAATACCATTTGGGTGAACCTGCATGAGAGAATCCTCACCTATCAAAGAAACAGCGAGGGAGGGAGTTGTGTCAAGAAACCCACTGTCACTAACTTCTTCAACTGTCTCACCGATGGAAAGCACAAGCGTAGCATTTGTGAATGACACAACGATATACGCATCAAACTCATCAATAATATTCTTCTTCACAGTCCAAACAGCACTAGGTATACCAGGAAGCTTGGACACTGCCATCTCACTAACTGCTAAACCAGTTCTCAGTATCCTCAAGGACGATCGAGGACCACGTCCACAAAGAGTAAAAATTTGAGGAGTTTCCTCTTCAAAGAGATTACTCACCTTCATATCCATTATAGGCATTAAACTCTCAACCTGGTCAATCCTAACAAGGTTTTTCAGTCTTCTGGGCCGGAAAAAGACTGGCTGAAAACCTTCTTCAGTTTCCATTAGCGTAGCCGATGACGCCTCCACATCATCTTCATCCCCTATTGCCTTAAACTGATACAGAGCATGGTTTCCAAACTCTGAGGCCGCAAACAAGAATCCTGACTTGAGCACGCACATCGAAGCCGTAACAGGGATAGTATCAAAATACTTAATCTTCAATTCCGAGACACGGTCACCGTCATGTTCTAAGGTGACCTTAAAAATATCTCCATACTCTGTCTGCAAAAGGAAGAAGAACATCGACTTGAGTTTATGCATTGCAGCAGAGACAATAAGAACACCGCGCTCCGCAGGCAAGTCAGCACGTCTAGGAATGACAGCCCTAACATCTTGATGTCCCTGATTCTTATAAATAACAAAATTTTCAGCACAAACAAGCACACCACTGGGGCCATCACCACCTCCAGGAACAGTGACAAGCAAATTGGCACCATTATCAACCTGCTCCGACCACTTCCTAGAAACATGGTTGAGCCCCAGATCAAGCTCATAAAATGTCAAATGCTTCTGTGCTTCAGAAGCAGCCTGCCCAGTTGAATCCAGATCTGCCTCCGAGTAATCCAACTCTATAGCAGCAAAGATAGGGTTCTCAAACCCACAATCAACTCCACAGATCGAATACACCAAAGTGTGAGATTTATGAGCCTCTAAAGGCGAAGAAATGGTTAACCTAGCAGCAGTATCCCTATTCAACACATAAACAAGTTTCTGCTTTTCACAAGCCCCAATCATAACAGCCCTACCCTTGGGATCTACGGCAAGGTACTGACCTGGCACAATTCGCCGGCAACCAGATTTTCCGAAAGTTTCCTGATGAATTTTATCGAAGACGTTCTTCTCCTTGTTGTATTCAAGGATTACGATCCTCCCGGAATCCGAACCCACAACGATGTAATCCTTCTGAGCTCCCGTAAACCTAAACAGACCTAAACACCTAACTGCACCGAATATTTCAACCGAAAGAATGGTTTGGATCCTACCATTGTCGTCCGGCCGAAGCAGATCGAGCACCTTCCCTCTCGCCACCACGATTTCTTGGCTCTTCCCGCCGGAGAAGCTGCCGTTGATGGCACACACGATCCCCGTCGGTCGCTGCAGAGTGAGACTGTAAAGATACATGGCGATGGCTGGCGAAGGAACGGAATGGTTTAGGGTTTTAGACAAGTTTCGTTTTCTTTTCAATTTGAAATTCACATGCTTTGGGTTTTAGACAAGATTCATTCGGTTAACACTTGAATTTTATCTATCGGTCATTTTATTGTTTTTAATTAAATATATTATTTGTACTATCTTAAAATTTTGTTAGATTTAAATATTCAATTACTCATATAAATAACTTTTTAGTAAAAGTTTCACTTATTTTCAAAAAACAGTTTGTTTATTTGAAGTAGATAAATAATAATTTTATCTGAAAAATCTGTTTACTATAATAATATGATATTTTCTTACATATTCATAATATAATAACAAGTTTTTATGTTTTAAAAATTATACATTTTTAATATTTAGTCAGATATATATAATTTATTTACAAGATCAAATGAATTAATTATACAAGATGACCCAATCGTCAAAAAAATTAAAATATTACAATTTAAATAAATAATTATAAATATATATAGTCATTTTTATATTATTTACGAATGTATTATAAGATCTTACGTTCTGATTAAGTGTAATCAGTCACGCCTCACTCATAAGTGAGTGCTACACAGGCCACACCTTTTTTGGCTTGACCAAATACTCCTTATTCAAACGAGACATAAGAAAGAGACATGCCTTGTTTAGATGTGATTAAGAGAGAGAGAGTGTTCCAAAAAGTTTGAGTGTCCAACACGGACTTCTAAATTAAGCACCGCAAATATTTTGTTGATGAAAGATTTTGATTAGCTCTTATGAATTATCTCAGTATCATTAAGCATCTTATGGATTTGGGAACAATTGATAGCTACAGGAGCATACACTGGCCCATTGGAATTTGCTAATGATGTGAGGCTTACAATTTCAAATGCAAAGACCTATAATCCGAGTTGGAATGATGTCCATTTAATGGCTGATACCCTTATATTATCCATGCACACAAAAAGAAGACCAAAACATATAATCTTGAGCTTTTCGACTATTATAGTCTTTTTTTAATAATTAATTATCAAATTGACTTTAATTATAAATTATTTTAAAAATTTAACTTCTTCAGAAAACATAACACTAATCTGTTCCTGTTTGACCGTTGACTATGAAGCTTACCTGGATACCCTCTATCTACCTACCCAGGTATATTTTGAAATTTTTTACCTACCCAGGTACACCCCTCCCTACCCGGATATATTTCTTGAATCTGAAAAAATATTTAAATTATTTACCCGGGTAAGAAAGAGTGTACCCGAGTAAATAACAAAAGCTAGTCATGAATGCTTTGTTAGCGCAAATTTGCAGCACGCGCACATGGGGAAAATTTGCTTTGAAGTTTTAACCAAAAGAACAAAAGCTACTTAAAATCAAATCCAACCTTGCAAAAACAAGTACCATATACGAACTTATATGGATTGAAGAAAAATGAAATGTTAGCGTTTTCAGCAAACAACAAATATCTGTTAATTTCATTAGAATTAGAAACAAAGTGCAAGCCAGTAAGTAGCACATGGTAAAAGTAATGAGAAAAGTATATTCACATGATAAACGCTCAGACCTGCAAACCATCAAGGAAGGAACCTTTGACTGTTTATGGGGATGGAAAACAGACAAGGAGTTTCCAGTATGTTTCTGATTTGGTAAGTGAATATACTTTTCTCATTACTTTTACCATGTGCTACTGGCTTGCACTTTGTTTCTAATTCTAATGAAATTAACAGATATTTGTTGTTTGCTGAAAACGCTAACATTTCATTTTTCTTCAATCCATATAAGTTCGTATATGGTACTTGTTTTTGCAAGGTTGGATTTGATTTTAAGTAGCTTTTGTTCTTTTGGTTGAAACTTCAAAACAATTTTTTCCCATGTGCGTGCTGCAAATTTGCGCTAACAAAGCATTCATGACTAGCTTTTGTTATTTACCCGGGTACACTCCTCCCTACCCGGGTAAATAATTCAAATATTTTTTCAGATTCAAGAAATATACCCGAATATGGAGGGGTGTATCTGAGTAGGTAAAAAATTTCAAAATATACCCGATAGGTAGGAGTGTACCGGGGTAGGCTTCATGGTCGACGGTCAAACGAAGACAAATTGATGTTATATTTTCTGGAGAGATTAAATTTTTGAAATAATTTATAAATAGGGTCAATTTGGTAATTAATTATTAAAAAAAAGGTTATAGTGGTAAAAAAAACCTATAATCTTGAGTAATATGAGTCCAGTTAAAACCCCAATGCTTCTTATCCCTCTCTGACCTCGGCAACCCAAACAACGTGGGAAGTGAAAGTACCCAACAAATAAGAAGCTGGAAGTGGAAGATGCACTTCTCTTCTCCTTTTTGATGGCTGGTACATAGCCATTGTTGCATACCCTTTTTATGTAAGTGGAAGTTGAAGCTCAAATGAAAAATAGAATTGAAGAAAGGCCAAAGTGGCAAGGATAAGAAGAATATGGGAAGGGTGGAAAGAAATAAGAAAGCAATAAAGGTTAAGAGAGAGAAGAGGGTGTCGCAGACTTAAATTTGGCTTATTTGATCACATCTAAAAGGGGCATGATTTACGTGGCACTCATGTCTTAGTATATATATTTGTAAATAATATAAAAAAACTATATATTTATAATTATTTATTTAAATTGCAATACTTGAATTTTTTTGCCTTACCTAATCACGGATCTGGATCCTCTCATGTGAAAATTCACATGACCATGTCATGTGGGGAATCATAACCATACAAAGGTGGATCAATGGTAAAAAAAGAGGAGAGAGAAAAAATGATAAAATAGATAGTTACGAAATCAAAACTGTTGATTTATCTTTGTATGATTATGATCTTTTCACATGACCATATCATGTTTTTTGGCATATGAGAGGATCTATTTCCCCCATTCACTATCATGTCATATGATTTATTTTATTTTTTTTACACTTATGAGGTTAGTTTTTTCTTTAAAAAAAATTGATTTTCGAAAAATCCAAAACCTGATTAACTTGTAAAGAGAAGAATACTAGCTAACTAACCAAGGAATTTGATAATATATATCTATGGGAGGAGAAAAACTTCAATGCACCAAGATCATCGAACTGGGTGTTCTCTTTTACTAATTTTTTTTTTTTTTAAGAATTAAAGTAAAAAAAATTACCAACTTCGGTGGTCCAGGATGTATTGAAATTTTTCTCTAGCCGGAGCATCTCCAGGGTAGCAAGATGGCAGATATCTACAGCGGGTACATAATTGAATTTCAATCATAATGATTCTTTTAAGCACCAAACCGGAGGAACTCTATGGCAATTTCCTACATCAGAAAGAACGGATGTCATATCTTTCAAAAGATCTTGACATAACATTTTTGGGCTACAAGCAATTAATTTGATTATCCTCGACAAGCTTGAGCTCCATTGAAGTTCTATAATTAGACACGTAAAAAACTTGAATTAATGGGTGCCAGAGTCATAACGTTTGTTGCACCACTATTGGGAGACTGTTTGGTACGGTTATAAATTGACTTTAATTTTGTTGAAGTATGTTCAACAAATTACCCGTTTTTCTGTTGTCTTCATGAGCCATCAAATTAGCTTATTGGGACAGTTCTTCTGGGTTTCAGTTTATCTGACGCTGCGAAAAGAGAGAGCCAGAGGATAAATCCAACAAAACACATCAAAATTCAGTTAATCTGCAAGCCTTGGTTAACAGTTTAGGATCCTCAATAGGAGTATGTATTTTACTGACTGAATTATTTGTGGGTCGAGAGTTTGACTATTCTTCCAGATATAATTGTAAGTACATGCATTTTCAAATTGTTTCTGGCTATTAACAATTTCCTCTTTATCGGCACAGACCAGTATTTTTTAAAATAAGAGACAATGAAGGATCAATATTTGATTCATAGGCTGATTGGGACCAATCTCATCATTTAAGCACTTCAAATTTGAGGAGCACTTGCACCTCGACAATTAATAAGAAGCAATTGTCAAATAAAACATAACTACAGTCGACCTTTGCAATGAAGCGCTTATTCCTTAAATTTTTGCAAGTAACCACATAGTCTTATGATTATTTAAGGATCTGCCTTTTTTATTTTTATTTTCCTTTTGAAATGTAGTGTATAAGACTCCAAAGAAAAATTTAGTTGGAAAAAGTATATATTAAAGAACTAGAAACCGACACAGCTGTTAGGATGGTTGAAATCAAACTCTTTCTAATCCATTTCCAACATGAGTAGAGGTCTTCTAAGCTGGCCATGGTGCTCCTGCCATCACAGCCTCAATCTCCCGTATTTCCCTCGGACACTTGGTCATATTGTAGCAACCAGCAGCAGTAACAAGCTGAGTACATCACAAAGGAATAAATGAACAAATAAGGTCATATACCAGAATAACAGTGCATTTTTATAATGATATTGTGGATATTCGCTAGAAAGAGAGAGGAGTTTAAAATTCTTCACCCTGGATATGTATAGTATTGAAATATGTATGCTAGGCAAATAATACTAGGTTAAGAAAAAATCATTAATTTTAACTTTAACAACATCAATTAGAAGATAGAAATGATAAACAACAAACTAGGTTGTCCATAATAAGGTTCAGCGAATGGAATACCACATCACTCTCAATTCGGACTCCACCAAAACCATTAAATCTGTTAACCACTTCCTGGTTTAAAAACTTGGAAGTTTCTGGACTATTCATGGCCGGAAGTAACAGAGCATCAATAAAGTAGCATCCAGGCTCCACAGTGATAACCTAGAAGTGTAAAAACAAGGAGGTTACCTCATCATCAAACTCATATTTCTACTTCCATATCACAAAAGAGAGCAATAACTAGTAGAGATCCAAGAAAAAGACCCAAACCCAACTAAAGCAACCAGGGTTCACAAATTATAACAATCATTATTTTGATTTTAACTTTAAGCATTACCAGGTGTAAAAGATTGACAAAAGACCTCAGAGAACAATTTTTTTTTGCAATTACATGTAAAAGACAACTAATTGATTCAACACTAGAAAATATTAACACTCAAAGTAAATCAGGGTGTTTTAGGTGCATCACAATTGTGCCATTTTTTATGTGGTATAACCCAAAGCAAAATAGACACCACCCAGCTGTTATGATTCATATTAGCTACTATTTGTAGAAACTAGAAAGTTCTGATTACTGAAAAAAGCCATAACTAACCATTCCTTCCTGGAGCTCTCTGATTGTACGCAAGGATTTTAATCCAGGTTCCTTTCTTCTTTCCAGCCCCTGCAAATCAGAACAAAATTCCCAAAGACATTATATGAAAAAGAATTTTCCAATGCAAGATTAATTATATAAGCCACTCCAATAATTAAAGAAGGGGGGAGGGTGCAGTTTAAAACGTAACTGCAGGCAAATTCACAAATACCTTTAAGTAGCCTCCAGGGTCATGTGTGTCAATACCAAGGAAATGCCCCAGACCATGTGGCATAAAAACAGCACCCAAGCGTGCAGCCATCATGTCATCAACATCGCTACACCAAAAGTAAAAAATATGCATTCACAAGATTCTAGAGATTGAATCAAGATGCAAATTTGCCAGTGGAAATGAGAAAATAGATAATATATGTTACCCCACAGCAATATGTCCCCTCTTTAGTGACTCCAGAATTACTTTTTCTGCTAATCTGCAATTTTAGAGAAGAAATGAGCAGAAGCAATGCAAAATACCTTTACAGAAGAGTATAGTAGTAGACACTAGACAGAGTTATAAAAATACATTAGCAGTCTTCAACATCATCATACAATTACAGTAATACACAAGCACTCATTCCCATGAAAAATAACTCATCTACAATACTCGACACTATTGTCGTTAACTTCAAAAGTAGTTTAATGATCCCTATTGATGACTAGATTTACTCTTAGGATCCCCCATTCAAGACAATGACTATAAATTCTCAATCAAGCTGGTGACAGCTAAATAAAAACTTGTGACTACACATGAACAAATTACCTAGGCTACAATCCTATATTCCAATCCACCAATTAAGTTAAATAGTCAAGAAACTTCTGTCAATTAAAGCACTAATATAATTTATCTTGTTCACAACTATTAACACTTGAAACCAAGCATGGCGGACAACATTTTAGTGATTTAAAAGAAGCAAAGTTGTTACTCAATCATACATGTGCATATCAACCCAGCTTACTCCAGGTTTCATTGCAGATATAACAGCATTATGAGCATCAAGGACAGCCTGCAGAACATTGAAAGTAGAAATAAAGAACCGTTGAATGAAATACTACTAAACATCAATACATTGAGCTATATGAAAGGTACATTAGCTGGGTCATCCTAGCACGCACATGAATGTCTAGAATTAGTTGAGCCCTTACAGGAAATTATGATATGTGTTTGGGAGGGATTTTGCAAGCTAGAGGTTTGTACCAGTGCAGTTTGCACATTAAGTAAAGAACTTACAATTTGTTTTCCCTTTGAAATAAAAGAGGTTATATAAGAAAGAACTTACGCTATATATAAGAGATTGGTCACGTGTAAACTTTCCATTTATCTGCACCAAAAAATTAAATTTGAGCATAAAATAATTATTCCCGTCAGTAAATAAAATGATAATTCACATACTAATAATGCCTGGCCCACAAGAAAAAAATAAGTCTGGGTTAGTGTAAAGATAATAAGGATCTGGATCCTCTAATGTGAAAATTACATGACCATGTAATGTGGGGAATCATAACCATACAAAGGTGGATTAATGGTAAAAAAGGAGGAGAGAGAAAAAATGATAAAATAGGTAGTTACGAAATCATAATCGTTGATTTACCTTTGTATGTTTGTGATCTTCCCACATGACCATATCATGTTTTTTTGACACATTAGAGGATCTATTTCCAGATAATAATGACTAGAACAATATGATAAATACATGAACAGACTGAGTTTGATGCAAGTTTAGCAGAGGCATTTCTGATGATTCAGCAACATTGCTCAAAATGGCAATGCAAGTAACAAGGAAACTAAGTAGGAAAACCAAATTTATTTGTTAATGGAAATACTCACAGGGAAAGAACATGTTATGTCAGACCCATAAAAGTGGTATTCAGCTCCCATATCAAGCAGTGCCATGCCTCCATCTTCCAAAGTCTATTAAAGAGCCATGTTTTAAAAACTTAAACACCTCTAAAAGTAAATAAACATTGATCATCCAATTCAGACAATAACTTCATCTTATTTTGTCTCTTTCTAAAGGAAATAAAGTATGCTTTCAATAATTAATATGTTGATTAACCGTATTCAAAGTCACCAAATAGCACAGACAGTTTTTTATTTTTTATTTTTTATTTTTTTTCTGTAACCCTGAAGGCCTGAATGATTTTTTTTTCCTACTAATGAAAAAATAAACGTACTGATGACTAAGCACGGTATTCATTAATTCCAATATAGGAAATAATAAATAGGTACACTGCTAGCACAAAGCAGTTATGCCTAATTCAATTTCAATTTCAATTTCCTAGGTGCAGAATGGACCAAAAAACTTAGAAAGGTAATATCACCAAACTAAAAGATGCAGGAACTGAATTCAGCAACATTATGATTGCGAATCAATCATATGACGTTGGCTGCAATGATAATGACCTTCAAAGGGATAAAAAATTAAAAAGTACTTATGTGCCATACCCTATCATTAGGAGCTGCTGCATGCCCATAATGAAGAACAGCGCTGCATGAATACACACGTGTTAGCCAGGCAACTTTGTGATGAAGGTCGCTACTATTTAAAACAAATTTTATAAAAACTTAATACACATACAGTGGCAGTACATAATTACAAACAGCATTTTGAGTTACAAAATTACAAACAGCAATATATCAAACACTATTCTTTTTCGCTAATCAGTTTTTAATTTTCTTTGAACAAATGGGCAGCGATCAAAGTTTTATTAAACCAAAAGTATCTGAGAAATACATTTATTTTGACAAATATGACATTATCAGAAATGCATACCTATTTTCACCAGTAGCACAAATGCATGTGTAGGAACAATGCCTACATCCACCATACATGTATGTGTGGTGAAGAAACATGCTTTCAAGCTGATACTCCTTCATGCCCACTTTAGTTTTTCTCATAACCTATGTCATTGTATTGTATATTGCAACTATCATGTAAGCATTTTCAGAAAACATACGTACAAAGTCATTCACATTTCATCATTGAGATTATAGATCATTTTAGCATGAACCAACTATCCCAAAATATTATACTGTTGGGTGAAGAAGCACAAATGATTTTATATCTAACATTCTGACTCGCTCCTTCATACAAGAGCCCTTTGGATTTGAAGTATGAATTAATGTATGGGCCTACTCCCTACTCTACCTTACACTAAAATGCATGTTTTTTATTGGAAGAATAGGGTGGCAAGGATCAAACTCTTGACCACTTGATCATAAAGCCTCTCTCATACCATAACAAAATCCAACTAGCCCGAAAGTTTAAGCTGGTAGGCATGAAATTATGAATGATTTTATATCAAACATTTTCTACCAATAGATAGCATACTTGTGTAAACCCCAACCTTAGTTGTTCCTAACTCAACTAATTAAATGCCACAAGTTCCCTAGAAAATGGGAAGGTGGCAAAGTAAAGGAAAATAGAACATTTGAGGAATATTTGTTAAAAAAAGAAAGTAAGAAGGAAATCTGAATATTTTTTTCTTACGAAAAAGTTATTACAGGAAAGCTAAAAGATACTACCAAGTTCCCAAAATCACTTTCATTTTACAGCTACAAAAAAATGCCTCAGATTAGGAAGATACTAAAAAATAAACTCTCAAATTAAAAATTGCAAGATCAAGATATATAAATCTAATTTCCTCTAATGCATTTCCTATATGCCTGCAAAGAACATTTGACATAAATATTAAAAAGGTATTCAAGAAAAAAACAAAACTTTAGCGAGTTAAGGCTAGTTACCTCAACATGAGCTTCGGAGCTTATATCATTAGCATACTGAATAAGAGCAATCTCTAGCTCTGACTTGATGACACGACATTCAGTCAATATAGGATGCAAAGTTGTCAGATCCTTATCAAACTCATTGATGCCCTAAAAAAATTCAAATTATAAATATACTATATAAATTCCGTGAATTCAGTTTCATTAGTAAGATATTGGTAAGCACTATTACAGTACTATGCCATCACAAATAACACAATAGTATTGGTAATGCTGAGATGTAATGCAGTAACAGTCTTGGGGTCATAATTAATAAATATCCAACAAATCACTGTCCTCCTCAGAACAATAAAGAAATTCTTATAGGGAGAGGGAGAAAAAGAATGATCATAATTAAGAACCTGAAACTCTGCTGGTCTAGAGAAATTATTGCTATCTGTATTAAGACCATGCAAGAGAAACAGTAAAGGTTTCCCCGAACCCTGGTAATATTGTTGCAATACACTTGCAATTTCATCAGTAAAGCATGCTGTGCTAACCATATAGTGTTCCTGCAAAAGGGGTATTGAAGATGTGAACCACTAAACATACTTGACAAGCGAAAACACTAAAGTGTTAATATTGAGTGAATCACCTTATAATAGGAAAGTTGCTTTATCTCTCCCAACCAAACAGCATACTCATCAGGTAACCTAGGAGCAAATAGGATAGAATTCCCAGTTCCAACGTCCTTCAAAAAACAATGACATGAATTAATCAAATTTGCAAATTTATACAACTTAACATGATTGTGTTTGTGTGCAAAATGAGATTGTGTTGGACTGTTGGAGATGAAACAAAGAAAAGAACGAACAATAGCTCCATAAAAGCCAGGTTCTTTCACACCAAACAAGTAAGCGAAGTAACTCTCCTGCCTGTGAAGTGCGAAGTGCAAACCAATTAGGCATCCATTTGCAATTATTGTAACGTTATAATCATTCCACTAAATTGAAATCACGATGAGATTCGAGGTTTGAGGTACCTGAAGAGTTCGATGTGGTCTGTGTCGTGACGAGTTTGCTCTTCGCCACCCTGCCACAAAATTGGATAAGAATTTTTTTTTTAAGAAAATTGAAAGATGGAGAGCAATGGTGCAGAAGATGCATACCTGAAGGAGCACAAAGCCATGAAGAGGACGCGAAGATTCAGAGAGGTGTTGGCGAAGGGATTTGAGAAGCTTCCCTCGATTTTTGACATGAACCTCCATCGACACTTTTGGAGGCCATAGGGACGACGAACCCATGGTTTTGACTTGAAATTGATCACACACAACTCAGAACCATTGCTAACTCTGCGTTTAATATTCAATTATATAATTATAAATATTGATATATAAACGGATTCTGATCATTTAAATATCGGTTTAATGTTCGTTACTTATGTCTATGATCACATTTGTATCTACACATATATGTTTTCATTCTTTCCTTTTTCTTTACATCACCACATACGAGTCCCACATATTTTTATACGAGTATCTGTGTATTTTTTTCTTTGTTCTTTTTTTAATCTGAATCAGTATTTGTAATTTCATCAAACTACGGCATGTGGGAATTGTTAAATCAAAATGAAGGACGTTGTTTTTTATGTCATTGTGGGAATTCTATTTATACAATTGTTAAATCAAAACTTGAAACTTGTCTGAGTTGGTAGCATGGGAACTGAGTGGTGGGAGAGGACCTCGATTTGAATTTCACTAACAACATCTGGATTTGAATTCTATAAATATCGTAATCCCACCCAAATTCTGGATTAGTCTCGTAGGCGGCTCGAAGAGTCGAACCCGTAAGAATACCACGGGTTCTGATTCGCATCAAATAAATAATTAGGATCAATTACCAAAAAAAAAAAAATCAAAACTTGAACCTCTGAAATCATAAGTAAAGTTCACTTACCAATTAAGCCACACTCCATGATTTCGTCTTTCTCTCGCTGTTGGTGTGATATGCTTGCAGCAACAGCATATTTGTCTGTGTCAGTGGAAAAGCCCAAGGACAGTGTGGCCCAGTATGGGGAGTCATCCGGGCTGTTGATTTTGGGCCTTGCAAGTGAAATGTAAATTTACTCAAAAGCATTTTTGGGCTCAGAATATCATAGATCAAAACACTATAAGGCCCACAATCTCATGTATGGATGGATGAGTTCGATAGTGTTGTGTCCGTTTCTCCACATTATTGCTATGCGTTGTGGAACAAAAACAAAAGTATAATGGGAAAGGGTGAATTATACGTTTTGTTCTTAAACTATAAAATAAAAATAAATAAATAATTATTAGAAGAATAAATAATCACATACATTTTATTCCTCTTACTTTTATAAATTCTTAATTAAATGAAATATATACTTAAAATATAAAATTACTTCTCTCCCTTGCCGTTCAAACTCCTCCGTCCAAATTTAATAAAATACCAATACGTAGAGAGTTTTCATCTTAAATTAATATAGTTCTGTTACGAATGAGCAAGTGGTAAAGAGTTTGAATATTTTATACAAAGTTATAAGCTCAAAATTTATTATCATTGTTGTATAAAAAAATTAAAGTATTTATCTTCTGATTTAATAAATAACAAATTATATGGTTGGGATGTGTGCACTTTTTAAAAAAATACGAGCAAATAAAAAGAAAAAAAATACTACCTATAGTTCACCCTAAGGGTGGTGATCGGAAATGGATTCTCTCATGTGTTGATCAACATGATCATGTCATGTGTAAGAATCCTAGCCATACAAAAGAGAATCAACAGTTATGATTATGTAACTACATATTCCCAGTTTTTTCTCTCCTTTCCTTTATCATCATTGATCTACCTTTGTATGGTTATGATTTCCTAACATGATATGGTCATGTTAATTAACACATGAGAGAATCCACTCCTGTGGTGATTAGACCAAATACAATATGGATTGACCTATATGTACTTGGCCTAATCACACATGGTTGAGATGAAGATGATGCTCTACGTCTTGGGCTTGGAGTTGTTGATGAAGATTAGTATGTTCTTGACCTTTGTTGGCGCGAAGAGACTGGATGGGGGGTACCTGCAATGACACTCTGATGCTTAAGTTAGTATCAGAGGCAGGTGTATATATGTTCTTAATGAATTAGATAGACGTACCTGGGAGTGTACCCTCTGCTTATATAGTGGTTCTGATGCCGCCTTCATAAGGCGGTATGGCCTCTGATTGGCCATTTCTGGGCTGCAGGTTTGGCTAGAGCCTTAACAGCCTTATCTCTTACTGTCAAGCTACCTTGTTAAAGTAGCGGCGAGCTGGTGCTGTCCTCTACTTATTAGTACAAAGGCGTGGTGGGTTTGAATTAGTTCTGGAGGTAGCTTCCTTACTTATAAAGTTATGCTATTGGGCGGTTTCATGCGTGATGGGTGCACCGCATCTTGTTATGCGCGATGGTAATCATCGCGTTTATTTCTGGATCCTCATGAGATTGGGCTTCGTTGTAAATCTTTGGGCCTCCAATAGGCCTACTATATTTTATCCAGATCAGGTGGAAACACCGATCAGAACCTTCAAGACTAAGCTCTTACGCTCTTGTGAAGGTTCTTCATAAACATACATTTCCCAATCATGGTCCAAAGCTTAGGTTACCAATAAGTCAACAACATCATTTCCTTCCCCGTCGATATGTGAAACTTCAACGGGGTCTAGTATAATGAATCAATAATTGTATGAGTGTCGTCTAAAGTGCCCATTAAGTAGTCCTTGTAATTAAGATAGAAGTACACTTATTATCCAAGATCAAGTTCCAAATATCCTTTGTCTAGCGACATTATCTAAGATATGGTCATTGTCCTTTATGGAAAGCTTCATCTCGAACCATGCTGCAAAATCAATCATGTGACTGTTATATATCACTATTGACATCTAAGGAGCCAAAGGAATATCTTGACTCTTTGGAGACCATTCCAATTTCAAGACAGTGACCAATCCACTTGGTTGTTAGGCCTAGGCTGAGCTTTCTGTAACTTATAAGTTATTTTAACAAAGAAAGTATTATCATTAGATAAATTTTAAGTCACAAGGTCGTTTACCTTCAATGTGAGATGAAGGCATCAACACTGAAACCATATTATTGACTTTTTGCATAAACCATTGTTGAAACATGGGCCAATTTCACCCAACATGCTAAGTTACGCAATCTACCACCTTCTAATTGAGAATGTTATCAGTAACATAATAGATGGCTTGCAAAAAAAGGTTTTCCACATCGGGAACCCACTTGTCTAACTAGAACCGAGTGATCAAACCATTCTCGAGTAATATTCTTGATCTTTTTGAATAGAACTCTAAGAATTGGTAACCCTTTTTTGAGATTAGATGTGTTATTACATCTATATTGACTGCAAAGATTAAATCAACCTAATCTCATACTTATTCCTAGTAACTCTTGCGCAAAGCACGTCTCCGATTGTTAACAAACCATGACCTACTTTCATAATGAAAGCTTTATTCAATGTAAGTATATGTTTCATTCCAATACCTCCATCCTTCATAGGAGAGCTCACTATATTCCATTTAACAAGTGGAACCTTCTTACAATTTGAGTTGGCACCCTAAAGGAAGACCCTGATGATTTTGTCCATCTCAGCAGACACAGTTATTAGAAGGTTAGAAGTTTGCATGCTACAAGTTGGAAGCACTGACATGACAAATTTTTCTAGAGTTATGTGACTAGCTAAGAATAATTAGTAAGCTTGATTCCAGAAATAGAAGCGCCCTTAAATACGGTCCAAAATGTGTCTGAACATGCTTTTCTTGACTCGTTAGTGATGGAGAGGGATTTCTAGATACTTACCTAAGTCACTAATGATGTTTTAACACAAGCAATCGACAATCTGTGTAACTCATAATGCTACGAAATTCAAGTGTTTTGTTGGGTTGTATTTGTAAATAGTGGTGGTCTTTGACCTACATAAGATATATTTGTGGCATTCATAAAAAGTGACTATCATATGTGCAAAAACACATTTTCTAGCATTTTTTTTATCAAACCACCATAAGTTGGAGTATTTTCTGAAGGTTCCAGACCGCCACAATATATTATACTTTTCCTAGAGGGTACAAACCACCACAATTTATTTCACTTTCTAGCGGGTATGGACCTCCACTATTGGTTATTTTTTCTGGTGGCTTTGGACCAGCAATACGTAAGAGTTGAAAGGTTAAATGGTCTTTAGAGGGCGTTTGGTAGAGGAGATAATTTTTTTTACTAGGAAAATATAATTAATGGGGAAATTGTGAGAAAGTAAATTTACTGGGCAAGTTTTAAAAAAAGTGTTTGGTAGGGCGAAATATTACTAGGAAAATTGATTTAATTTTACTATGTCTATGTTTGGTTTAATATAATGAAAATCCGAAAATACCCCTTATAAATTTTGAATCTGAACTGAAATATACCCGTGAGTGTATGTTGGACACCTGTGTGGGCAACGTTCGTCTTGTTCTCCAATTGTCTGTGTGTCTACTTTGGAAGTCAGGCACATCACTCCGGCACACAAAGAACAGTGGTCTGAACTTGTATTTTGAGAACATGGTCAACTCAAATAGAAGCGTTCGGTTTTCTACATGCATTTTGAAAAATGAAAAAAAGGATTCAAAAGATTATGTTCATTCGCTCACCTCCCACCGTAACCAATGGGTCTGATTGAGGAAAGATATGTAGCACGAGATATTTCTCACTTTCTTGGATATACTGAGCAAAATACGAACGAGAATTGACAAAGGACAGAGTCTCTCAGATTACATTTCGACGAGGGCATTTCCGTAACAAATATCGGGCCAATAACTTCACTTCCCTAGTTTTCTTCCAAATACCACCTCCGAGGTGATATTTCAGAACAGTGCTTTTTGCATGATTTTACACTCATCGGTGATTTGCATAGGTAACACTGTTGCCTGGTTTTATTTTCTCCAAACTTGGCATAAATCAATTTACATCCTAACTTACCCAGCAATTCCACAAGAAGCCATCTACCAAACACACCCTTAAAATAATCCCCAATTCCCCCATTACTTGTTCTATTTGCCAATTAATTTGTTAGTTGTTTAATCTTCTATTTTTTCCTTGTAAACATTTACTGTATACTGTGAAGTGCAAAATGTCATAAAATCCATGAATTTTTTTTTTTGTAACAATTCATGACTTTTTTTATTTCCACGGGAGTGATAACATTTAAAAGAATAGTCTCATACTCTCATCCGAAACTCCAAAAATGACAATGATTTTTTAATTTTTGTATGTTTGTGACTCTCCCAAGACATCTCACTTTCTAATTAATATTTTTCCTACACATTCCCATTAATACTCA